TCCTCTGGGGTCATGGCAGCCTCTGCTATTGGCTTGCCCATTTTAAAGAGGAGGAAACTGAGGCTCAGTCAAGTTCAGGATCATGCTCACCCTGGAAGCCGCTTCTGTGTTGAAGCACGTCTGCCCACCCTGCTGGGTCCTCAAGGACCCCTCACCTGCTGGACCCTGTGGACACTCCCTTCCTCCTCCCTCCTGCTCTAACTGCTCTGAGCTTCCCCCAACCCTGGCACGCCGTGGTCCTGCCACGTTGCTGTCAGCCCCTGCCAGGGCTGCCACTTCTCCCTCCCCCAGCAGGCAGGGAAGTGGTACTTCCGGAAGTTGGGGGCTGGAGGTGGGTGTCCAGGAAGCTCTGAAAGCCCGCTAGCTGCCCACTGCAGGGTTTCAGTTCCGGGGGGGGTCCCCAGGCAGGGAGCTTGGGTGCAGGGGGGCTGGCTCAGTGCACGGGCTTCCTTGCCCTGCCCCCCTAGTCCCGCCCCCCCCCCTTCTCTGTTCCTGGGCCTGCCTTGCGTTCCCCTCTCCCAAGAACCAGGGCTTCCCTGGCTACCCAGGAGAGGACTGGTTTCCAGGGGCTTGTCCCCACCCCAGCTGCAGTTAGCACTGGCATTTCCTGTCACCTCCTCCACCTCCCCTGTCTGCCAGGCAGAGGCCAGAGGGGAGTTGGTGGGGGGTTCCCTGGGCTCCCTGCTGTGGGGACCCACAGGAGCAGGAGGGACCTAGTCCTAGTGAAAGCTGTGCAGCTCAGGAATTTGGGTTAATGGGGATGTCACTTCCCTCTTCTGAAAAGAACCTTGGGGGCACGAGTGTCCTGGGCCATCCAGTGAGTATAGCTGCTGGTGGAGCTCATCACCTCAGGGAGCAGCAGCCTGTGCCCTCAGCGGGCTGCAGTCCTGATGAGGTTGTTTTTTATTTTGTCTTCACTAAATGTAACTTGTAGCTTCCAACAGCCCAAATCTGCAGTACTGGGTGCAGGGAGCTGGTCTGCGCCTACCCTGGGTGCTGGGTGTCCCAGACATTCCATCTCTGCTCCACAGCTTCTGTTGCTGGTCTCCAGGTCTTTGCATTTCAGAGATAGCTTTGTGCCAAGGCAGGGATTACTCTGCGGCCTCTTCCATGCAGTTTCCTGGATTGAAGTCTGGCTGCCAAGGGAGGCGCTTTTGCCCATGTGGGGGCTGCTGGGGCATCTCCCTGGTTTCCTTTTCTGTCTGTCCCTGGAGGTCCCTGTGGCCTGGGCTGTGCCCTCCTTACCTAGGGCATACCGACTGTTTCTGGTCCTGAAGGGGGACCTGTGGATGTCAGAGGAATGAGGTTCTGAGATATTGGGGCCTTGTATGTCATAGGTTCTGAGGTTTCCAGATTTAGGGATTTGGTTTTGCCACTCAGGACTTGTCCTTTAGAGGCTGCCCTGCCACCCCTTTGGGCTGGGAGGGCTGTGTGTCCACTGGCTCCCAGGTTGAGTCTGGGGTGTCTGAGGCTAGCTCGAGGTAGCTCCCAGGGGCCATGCCATGGCCCATGACGTGGGCATGGAGGATCAGATAAGCTGGTGGAGACCAACTGGTGACAAGATTGGCGTGTCCAGAGTATTGTGGCCACTTATTGGGTTAGGGATGGATAAGTGGCTGGAAGAGGCAGAGGGAACACATGCAGACGGGGCCCTTTGATGCAAGTGAAGGATGTTTAGACATTTTTTTTTTTTTTGCCTTTTCTTCTTAATATTCCTTTCCTGGCCAAAAAGTATCTTTCTCCACAAGACTCCAGAAAACCGCCCAGCCCGTTGTCACCCGGCTCTGGGTCTGCCATGGATGTTCTGTGTAAACAGGAAGAACCCCCCACCCCCACCCCGCCCCAGTCAGGGGCCTAGCGGCGCTGGGCACCATCGGCAAGGCTGGTGGCACTGAGCTGAGAGCCCTGGGGGCTTATTAGGCAGAGGTGGAGTGGGGCATACCCACAGGCTGGGTGCCGAGGGCTTCTTCCTTGCTCCCCCCTCACCCCTTTCTCCCTGACAATCCTGGGCCTGTTCTGACCACTTTGCTCCTTGATCTAACAGGCTCTCCTTCTCCAGGGACTTGGAACTTGAGCTGAGTGCAGGCAGTTTTCTTGGGGCCTGCCTCTCCCTCCCTCTCTCCTCTCTCCCTCTGTCCTTTCCTCTGGCTGACGCTCTCTCTTGCTGCTCCTCCTCTTCCTGCCAGGGAGAATAAGTGAGCAGATGACCAGCCAACCCAGCTGCCCAGGCGGAGGCTGTCTGTGCAGGCCCTGGCTGAGAGAGCTCCTTTGCCCCACTGGCCTGCCCCACTGGCAGGAGTACTCCCTTGTGAGTGGGCACAGCTGGCCAGCAACAGAATCCCCTGTCAGGGGTCTGGGCCTACCTGCCCTCCTGTCCTGGGGACAGCTGGCTTGAGGAGATCAGCCCCAGCATGGTCTGGTAGGCTCTCCCAGAAACCCTGCAGTCCTCTCCAGTACTCCCATGATTACACCAGGAGCAGGGGGTGGGGGCGGAGAAGCTGGGAGAATCCAGCAGCAACTTCTCTCCTGACCTTAAAATTCCCGTCTTGTTCTCAGAGGCTGGGAAGAGAGGCAGCTTCCCAGGGTGGCCAGGCTGGGTTCTGAAGGTAGTCCTACAGTTTGGGCCCCAGACTGACCAGTCTCTTCCTGGGTGGGTACCCACAGGGTCCTTCTCTGGGGAGATGCCTGCAAAGTCACCTGGTGCTGAATCAGTCTTGCTTTCCTGACCCCATGCCCTACGGTCAGCAGGAGGCCTCTCTGGACCGAGCTGAAAGAGGAGGGCCAGGTCTCCGTCCTGTAGATGAATAGAATTGGGTGTGCCTGTGCGCCTTTCACAGAAGGAAACTAAGGCTCAGAAAGGGAAGAGACTGGTTCAGGTTTCCCTATCCAGGGGCAGTCGGAGATAGGGTGAGGCATTCCTGTGTTTTTTGGGGGGGACCAGAGGTTTCTGGGATATGGCTTTGGACGTTTCTCTGACAGTTCCAAGAATTTAGTGACTTCAGGCTACAGAGGTGGTTGATAGACTCAGTGACACACTCTCCTGTCTGCTCCCTCCCACCCCCGCCTTCTTCACCTGGGGACTTTATCTTCAATTGGTCTCATCTACAGGTCCTATCAGTGACTAGTAGGGCTGATCTGTAGTACTGACCATTGCCAGTGGGTGTCGCTAGCACTTGGTTCTGGAATTCCATAGGGTTGTATTTCCAAGCTCAGTGAGATGGTTTATTCCCAATTTTGTGAATGATGAAGGTTTGCAGTGAGTCTATACCTGCGTCAGATGGGGTGTAAGTGGCAGCCAGGTTCACCCGTCGTGCTGTGGACCTGTTCATGGAGGGGTGCCCAGCGGAGGGTGGTTCCTCTGGGAGGGGACATAGAGGTAGGGCCCAGCAGGCCCAGGCTGTTTCAGGAGAATGGGAGCACAGCCAGGAGGGGTCTGTTGCAGGGTATTAGGGCCCAGCAGGCCCAGGCTGTTTCAGGAGAATGGGAGCACAGCCAGGAGGGGTCTGTTGCAGGGTATCAGCACCTCCAGGCTGGCACTGGCACAAATGCCGGGCTCTCCTGAGCTGTGGGTGACGGGAACACGGCTCTGGATGGAGGTGGGTTCCGCCCCAGTCCTGCATGTGGTTGGCAGTGGTCTTCTGAAACTTGTTGGCACAGGCGGCAAATGCTGATGCTTTGCACAGGGCTCCTTTGACACGTGGTTCCTTCCTCACAGGACTCCTTCCTGAGGTAGCCTGGCGCTCAGAGCACTCAGGACAGGGCTGCTATGAGTTTCAGGGAGGGGAAGCCTTCTGAGGCTGTGGGGGGCACTCCAGGGTATGTGCCCTGACCTGGGGCTTGTGGGTTCAGTCATAGCCTCTCCTATGTCTGTGGTCCTGTTCTGCTTCTTAGAAGGGCAGGTGATCTCTGGGTGGGAAGGGTGGGGAGTGAGAGAAAGTTCTGCTGCTAGGCAGATCTGATGCTGGAGCCTGGATGCCAGGTGATTGCCCAGAGGCCCGGCTGTCCTATAGAGGCAGGGGGTGGAGCAAGTTGGGTGTGGGGCTCCTGATGGTTTTCCTGGTTGTCTGAAAGCCCTATAGGCAGTGCAGTCACCCCCCAGGCAGCCTCTCACCCTCAGGGGGAGGGGCCCTCACTGAGTTTGTTGGGGACTTTGAAATTCCTGAGGTGGAGATGAAAGGCTAGTGTGGGGGAGGTCTCAGCCCTGCCTGGCACACACCTGGGCACCTTCAGGAGGCCACCCAGAAGCTCCCTGCCCACATAGGAAGTGCTAGGTGTCCCCTTTCCACCTTTCCAGTCCCCTCCTATCCCAGGGCCCCATGAGACCAAACAGACCCCAGGCCACAGATTCTCAGCTGCCACTGCTGTGGTACCTGAACAGGCCTAGGCAGTGTGGACCTGCGGTTAGTGCTTGGGAGTGGGTCAGCTCATGGAGCTGGTCCTGGCTCTGCCATAGGCACTCTAAGAACTCAGGGCCTGGCTTCCCTTATCTGTAGGATGGGACAGTAATAGGATGCTCCCTTAACCTCACGTTCATCTGTGCTGGGAATAGGACAACTGCTGGGACATAGCAGGTGCTCTGAGAACAATGGCCTTTATTACTTTTGTTATTCTTGGACTGTCCCCTCGACCGCCCTTGGGGATGGGCAGAAGAGCTGTCCAGTCCTGGCAATGGGCATTCCTCCCTCTGTTTCCTGGGTGGACAGCCTACGGTGGAGAGGTTTGCAGGGCCCAGGTCAGCATCTTGAAGCACACTAACGGCAGGTCTGTCTTGGGCCCGGCCTACTGCCCAGGCCATGTGGGGGGCAGTGCCTTGGAGGGGAGCTCCAGCTTCCCTGACCTGGCCTTGTGTGGGCTGTAAGGGTTGGCGGGGCCACTCTGGGGGTCCCTGGGGTCTTCCCGTGGGCCTGTGGCCTGAGGGGAGCAGGCAGTTGATGTGGGTTCTAGAGGCTGACCCTGAACACCCATGCTGACCCTTTCTCCCATGGATTCTTGTCTTACAGACTTCTCCACCCAGGTGAACTCCTCGTCTCTCAACTCCCCGACGGGGCGAGGCTCCATGGCTGCCCCCTCACTGCACCCCTCCCTGGGACCTGGCATCGGCTCCTCGCTGGGCTCCCCAGGGCAGCTACACTCGCCCATCAGCACCCTGAGTTCACCCATCAACGGCATGGGCCCACCCTTCTCGGTCATCAGTTCACCCATGGGCCCTCACTCCATGTCAGTGCCCACCACACCCACCCTGGGCTATGGCACGGGCAGCCCCCAGGTGAGTGTGGCAGCTGGGGAGGGGTCTGTGGTGGGGGTGTAGGCTTCATGGCAGGATGTCCACATTGTTTCACAGACTCTGGGAAAGAGGTACTGACATTTGCCCTTTGATCTGTGGGAGATGGTGCCTCAGGGAGAGACATGCCCCAGGGGATTTGGGCCTAGGTCTGGCTGGCTCCTGGGCCTGGACCCCTCAGGAACGGCAGCTCAGCAACCTTGTTGCTGGTCCTCTACCCTAGTGTGGCCCCTCGTGTATGGGAGGGACAGGGACTCCCTGCTTCCATGACCACTGAGCTCTGCAGTGTGGGGCTCTGCCTCCCTCAGTCCTGCAGCCATCCCTGGGAGCCCTGTGCTCCTGTGGGCCTCAGTCCTTTCCACCTGGTCTCTCCTTAGAGCAGGGTCCGTGGTTTCAGTGCCCTGGGCCCCAGGAACTGAAAGAGGTATCCAGGCTCAGCCCAGGTGCTACCCTCCTCGGATGCCAGGCTCTGGTCCCCAGGGAGCCTTGGTGGCAGGGCTGCTCAGAGAGGTGTCCAGGCTCAGCTCAGGTGGTACCCTCCTCTATGCCAGGCCCCTGGTCCCAGGGGTCCTTGGTAGCAGGGGTACTCAGTAGCCTTGGCTCTGGTATGCCAGTTGTCTGTGGGGCGTGGTGACCTCCTCTGTAGTTGGGGTCTGCTTAGGTGTTTCCTCAGACAGTCTGGCTGTTTGGGTTGTTTCTGGGTCAGGAAGTGGGTAGAGCCTGAGATTGTCTGGCATAGTCTAGGTCTCGCTGTGGGGACCTTGGGGCCTGGCCTACCTCCACTTCTCCCTAAGAGAGCACACCCTGAGTGCCTCTGTGTTCCTGCCTGGGAGAGCCACAGGGGACGGGTTTCTGTCTGGTTGGTGGGAGCCTCCCCTGACTCCTCCAGACCCTCCCTCTCTCAGGGGCTCCATTTTTTCCTCTAAAATAGGCAGGGGCAACCCTCCCTACTTGGAGCTTCTCTGTTTGGGTTTGGCCATTGGTTCCCCAGTGCGGGAAGGCTCCAGTGCCCTCTTAGGAAAGCCCAGCAGGGAGGGACTTGTAGTGAGCTCCCTTGCCAGAGTCACATAGCTTACAGCTCTGTCCGAGGACTCCCAAGGCCCTGCTGTCTGCCAGCTGCTGCTCCTGCTGCAGGACTGGGGTGTGGCTGGGGTCAGAGCCAGCCCACCGCCCACCTACCTGGGCCTATTGAGAGCTGGCCTTGGCCATCCTGAGCTGCAGCCCCCAGGGAACCTTATTCTTTCTAGGCCAACCAGTCACAGCCCCTCTTCCCTGGGGACTTTGCAGAAGAACTACTCCCTGTCCCTCTCACATTACCTGGCTTTCCAGAATCAGGTGGAAGGTTGCAGTGCTGGTGTGAGGGAGGCCCAGGCCACCACCCTGGGCCTGGCCGTGTTATTTTTAGCATAGCTGCCCTGCCCCTATTCTTATTTCAGCAGGATGCTAGGCAGGGAGAGGGCACATGATGCCCTGGGCCCCACCTGACCCTTGGCCCAGTGGCTGGCACCTCCTGGCTGTCAGTGCACTGAGGCTGTTGGCTGGGCCTCCAGGCCGGGTGCCTGCTCTGGACACCCAGGAGGTCTGTGCACAGCAGGAGCCTGGTTCCCAGTCTCTGCTGAGGGGCAGAGCTGAGGGCTGTGCAAGGGTCTGTGCCCCACCTGCTCCCGGAAACCTTGGAGTGCCTGATGCCCTTAGTACTGTTTAGCCTTTCTTGGGGCAGGGCTGGGGCAGCATAGGGAGTGGGAGAGCTTAGGGCCATTTCTACCCTGTTTGTCTGTCACTTCTATTCATGGAGAGGTTTCTGGAACATAGCAAGTGCTCCCTCATTGAAGCCAGATGGCTTATAAGTGGGTGGCCCTGGCCCCTTGAGGGTAGCAAGGGGCCCAGGGGCAGGTTGGGGTGGGGAGCAGACCTAGTGTGCTCCAGACATGTACCGCTGTCAGCTTGTATTTGTCTGTGGGTCTGTCAGTCCCACCCGTAGTCAGTTGTGCTGGGGTCTGGGCCATGCATGGCCTTAAGTTCCCCAGAACTCATAGCTCTATCCCTGGAAGTGAATCCAGCTCCTGGGCTTCAGCAGTTTCTCTTGGAGATGTGGGTTCCTCATATCCATGGGAGTACAAGCAGAGTGGGGGGAGTGTGTGCCCCACCCACAGCCCTAAACCACAACCGCAAAGTCAGGGTTCCTGGAGCCAGCTCGGTCCTCTGACTTCTGCTGCTGTGAGGGATGGCCTGGCGGTCTGTCTGCTGCAGGCCAGGGCCAAGAAGGGCCGTCAGTATCACTGAGCATAGGCCAAGGGGTCTCTCCCAGCAGGGGCACGTAGCCAGACCAGTCCTCAGCTGCCGGCCCCTCAGCTACCCCAAGCCTCCTCGCTGGTTGTGGGGGCTCCACCAGGGCAAGGCTCAGGGGAGGTCCGCACTGTGTCCCAGAGGTCTCCTGGCTATATCTGGCTCTCTGTTGGTGTGTAATAGGTATTAGCTTAGGGGACAGTGCCATCTCCTGTGTAAGGAACACTTCCCAAGGGCTGAGGGTGGTGCTGGGCACAGAAGTGAGACCCTCACATTCCAGTGAAGCTCCCTGACTGAGGGCCTGTGGGGCTTTGCATAACGGAGTGTGCAGGTGGGATGGAGGGTGGGAAGCTGGCTGGCACTGGTATGGGATACCTCCTGGCCTGGGGGCAGAACTGGACAGGAACATGGAGAAGGGCTGATTTGGTCCTGGATGGACAGATGAGGCCCACAGTGGGCTCAGAACCCAGTTCTGACTGTGGGTAGTGGGCCTTCTGGGTTGGGGCTTGGGAAGAAGGGTGTAGTGGGTCTGTGGGGAGGGAATGGGATAGATGGGCAGGAGACCAGGGTGGGGCATTGAGGACGTAGGAACCGAAATAGGTGTCAAGGATATGAAAGGGGAAATGGGGTACACCCACCCTGGCCATCATAGAGTCTTGGGGTTCTAGCAAAAAACTGCCCTGGGAGAAGGTGGGTCTCCTGGAAATGGGCAGGAGGCGTGCCCAGTAGGGGGCGCTGTGGAGCCCACTGGGGAGCTGATACATAAGGAGGCCCCAAAGGGCTGCTCAGAGCTTGATTCTGGGGCCTTTGAGCAGCCTGCGCCTGGAAGGGCAGGAAGAACCAACATTCCTGATGCTGGTCTCCCTGCCGAGGCTCAGCCTTGCTTTGGCAGCCTCACCCGGGTCATATCCTGGTGGTGCCCAGGGAGGCAGAGTGAGTAGCAGGGGCTGGCAGTGGGGCCAGACACCCTGGTCCAGTCTTCCGTCTCTCCAGACCTCCTGGACTTCCCCTCTGGTCTGCTGAGGTCCAGGGAGGGCAGGGATGTCCCAGCTTTTATCCTGGGAGCTGGCTTGGTCATGGTGCCAACTCTGGGGATGTGTGACTATCTTCTGTGTCCCCTCCTGCCTGGGGCCTCCTTCTCTGAAGAGGGCTTCTCTGGCCCCACCTCAGTTTACTAGTGCCAGGCCCCATGGCCTGCACGAGGAGGCTGGGAGATAGCAGTGCCCGCTGTCCACCCAGTGTCTTGGAGGTGGACAAGGAGGAAGGAGGAAATGAGTGAGTCCCTGTCCACGGTGCTGCCAGGACAGCTGTGGCCTCAACTCCATGGTGTGGAAAAGGCTAGTGGCCCCGCAGGGGCCTCATGGGCCTAGCTCCTGCCCCAGGTCTTCCTGCTTAGACGTCCTCAGTGCCTCCCTGTGTGTGCTGGTACCCAGCAGTTCCTGCCCTTGGGTGCTGCTGCTGCTGTCACTCCGGCCCTGACCTGATCCAGCCCCAGATCCCCCAACTTCTTTCTTTTCCAGAACAGTCCTTTGTTTTCCGCCTCTGGACGTCAGCATGGGCAGCCCCCTGCCTGGGATGCCCCTTCCGTCTTCCCAGGCCTCAGGCCATCTCCTCCAGGCTGGAGGCCTCCTTATACCTGCTGTTTCTTGGCAGTGGGTCACAGAGAGCATGCTGCCTGTGGGCTGTGCTCTGAGGCATGTCCTGGAATCCTCACATCAGTCTCAGCACGGGCACTAACTTTCTAGTTTTGTAGACGGGGGAACTCAGGTTGGTGACTGGGTAATTTCTCCAGTGTCACTGTCAAGCAGAAGGGACGGAATTCAGAGCTGAGGCCATCAACCTCCGTCTCCTACAGAGTCCCTGGGTTAGACAGCAACAGACCCTTCTCTGTCCTCCCAGGCCTCAGGGTCACCAGTGGGTCCTAGAGGACTGGGCAGGGCCTTGCCCCTGGTACCTCCTGCTGTTCTTGCCAGGCCAGGATAGGCCAGGCCTATGCGAGCAGTGCCCAGCAGTGGGCGGGACACGTGCTTCTCCCCAGCTCAGTGGTTTTGGACAAGCCCTTCCCTCTTGGGGTCTCAGTTTACCTTTCTGCAGTATGTGGGGACCATGGACTTGGGGAGCACCTGCTGACTCCAGGAGGCCTGAGTTTAGTCCCCACCCTGCCACTTAGCCCTGTGTGACATCCTCGCTGCTGCTGGCAGGGTTCTCTCTGGGCCAGGAGTCTCAGTGTCTGCATCTGGGTCCCGGGGTTTTCCAGGCAGGGAGAGGCAAGTTGTGTGTGCAGAGGTCTGGTACTTTCTCCTTCCCATTCTTAGTTCTCTCGCTTCTCCCTGTGGATGTGACTGGGGGGCATTCATCTGCCCTGCTCTTCAGTGGCACCTCTTCCCCGTCCACTGAGCTGTCAGGGCTGGCCCTGGTCTGGCTGCAGCCCACTGGAGGCCCATGGCCCACCTGGACAGACCAAGAAGGGTCCCAGAACCTAGAACGGTTTCAAGTTGGGAAAATCACTCCAGGCACGGAGGCCTCTGTGAAAGGCGGCTTTGGGGTGGTTTCTGCTTTGCTTGCTCTGAGTACTAAGCGCTTCCTGTCCCGTGAGAAAGGGGGATGGGATTTGGGGGCTGGGGGAAGGAAGGAGAGGATTCCTGCGCACAGGGGGGGCACGGGTTTGCAGAAGTGGAGCTGGGTGGACAGGCAGGCTGGCAGGGTGCAGGGGAAGTGCCTCTGGCCCCTGCGCTGACTGCAGAGTGGGTGGAGGCAGGGGAACCAAAACTGCTGTGTCATCGCACGCTGCAGCTGTTGTCAGGGTGACCGGGTGAGTTTCCCACGCCCGCTGCTGCAGGCAGGGTGGAGGGCCCTGAGGAGAGGCCGGTGGTGTTTCAGCCACCAGATGCCCAAGCCTGGGGGGGCCTCCCTCCCCTCTCCTGTGTCACATGACCAGAGACTCAGACCCTGGCTTACAGCCTCATAGGGGGCATGTGTGGCTCTGGGGGCCCCATCTCTGCTCCCTCCTCATTGAGCCTGGGCCTTAGTGTCCCCATCTGTGGGATGGGTCCCCTGAGTTTCTGCCTCACTTAGTGTCTGGGGAGCCTTCACCTGGGTCGGGCACAATAAGGGGCTCAGTCATGAGCAGCAGCTCTTTCTTAGCTGGGTGATGGGTGGGCCATATGCCCTCCTGGCAGGGTGGGATGCCAGGCAATCTTTTGAGGAGCCATGGGTTCAGCTGTGGGACAGGGACCCATGTAGGAGCTGGGGCCAGGCATCCAGCCGGCTCAGCAGAGCTGGGCCCTACTCTCCTGAGGACGGCAGCCCTGCCATGCCTCAGCTGTATGGCAGGGGTACGGCCCTCTGCAGCTTTGGTGTCTCTGTAAATGGACAGTGTCTGTGGGGGCAGCACATTTTGCTGCCCCCTGAACCTGCTGACCCTTCTCAGCTCAGCTCACCCATGAACCCTGCCAGCAGCAGCGAGGATGTCAAGCCCCCGCTGGGCCTCAATGGCGTCCTCAAGGTCCCTGCCCACCCCTCAGGAAACATGGCATCCTTCACCAAGCACATCTGCGCCATCTGTGGGGACCGCTCCTCAGGTAGGACCACCATGGCTCATGGGTAGGCTGTGGAGAGGCAGGGGCCTGGGCGAGTTTCTCCATCTACCCTGCGGTGCCCCCATCCCACACCGCACCCTTTGGTGTTCGTGTCTCTGGGACATCTGTGGTGAGAGACCAAGAGGGCAGGGCAGCGGCTGTTGGTGGTGACAGCAACAAAGGGGCACGCGGGGCTGTGCCTGGGCTGAGGGCCCCCACTTTATGCCACTAACTCCCAGCAACCTGAGAGGGAAGAGTGACTCCCGGCCTCTTGCAAGGCACTAGCTTAGCCCCAGAGGGCCAGTGACCTGCTGGAATTCAGCCCTGCCCCACTCCCAAGCTGACTCCCAGTCCCAGAGGCTGACCCACCTCTCGGAGGAGCAGAGGGCCAGGCAGGGGTCAGCCTACACCCAGCCGAGCTGGAAACCGTGAGGGCCCTCCTCAGGGCCACCTGAAGCCTTGCCCAGCAGGACACGGAGGAGTGGCGCTGCCAGCTTGGTGGCCACTCACCAGCTCTGCCGCTGGCCCACAGGCAAGCACTACGGGGTGTACAGCTGCGAGGGCTGCAAGGGCTTCTTCAAGAGGACGGTGCGCAAGGACCTCACTTACACCTGCCGCGACAACAAGGACTGCCTGATCGACAAGCGGCAGCGGAACCGGTGCCAGTACTGCCGCTACCAGAAGTGCCTGGCCATGGGCATGAAGCGGGAAGGTAGGCTGCGGGCGCCTGCTGGGCCAGAGGGAGGGCAGGGTGGCCAGACCGTCTGCCCTGACACACTCCTTGGGTCAGACTCTCGAGGCTTCCATGTGTCCCGCTTGCCGCATTCTCCGAGTGCAGCTATGGACTTTGCAGCTTTGCTGTGCCCCAGCAGCAGCGTTGCACACATTGGATACAGGGTGCTCGCTCCCTGCAGAGTTGCAGCCATACCACGGGCAGTGCCTTCCTGTGGAAGGGGCTGGCTCACTTTCCTGGTGGCCCCAGGCCCGTGCTCTCCAGGCTAGAACACGCTTAGCACTAGGGGCCTGGGTGAAAGGCATCTGGCTTTCCCCTTGTGAGGCAGGGGGCTCCTATAGGACCGCCTAAAGCCCAGGCCAGCTCTAGCACCCTCCACCCTGCATTGTGTCTTCATTGAGCTCCTGCTATATGCCAGGCCCTGGACTTACAGAAGAGACAGGTCCTGCTCACTCTGGCCTCCAGGCTGTGGGGACAGGCACTGATTAGGCAGAGGCCCTGTGAGGCTCTATGGCTCTGGGGGACAGATGAAAGGAAGTGAATGTTCTGGACAGAAGCACAGCAGGGACTGAGGCGGGAGGGGGGGAAGGAGACCAGGTGGTGGCCTCAGGGGAGTGGGTGCACATGGGCCAGCTGTGCAGCAGGGCACAGCCAAGGAGACCCTTAGGAGATGGCTGTTTAGGTTAAGGGGGCTTCCAGCAACCAGCAAGATGTCCCCTAAGCCTATTGGGTCCCACCCCTGGCGGGCACCTGGTAACATCTGCACCTTTGGGCAGCAGACTTGAACCTCAGGCCTTGGTGTTTTGAGCCTCTTTCATTGGCACGATGTTTTGTGGGGGGGGGGACAGTTAGCGGGGAATGCCTCTCTGTGAGGTCATGGAAACCATCAGGTGGTTCAGCCAGACCTGGATCTGCGCCCTTGACCTGTGGTGCAGAGTGACCTTCTGGCCCCTGTGTCAGTGGACGTCAGTCTCTCTAATCCCTTCTTGTTCTCTAGCTTGACACCAGCTTGTCTCTGCCAGGACCCCTGGGTCACTGTGTGCCTGTCTGAGTGGGGTGCATGGGGTTCATCCTAACGTGTATGTTCCCTGGGCCTACGGGGCTGTCTGGGGAAGAGTCTGCTGCTCTGTGCCCTGAGTACCACAGGACCCTCCCTCCTCCTGCTGGGGCTGCCTGTCCAACCTCCTTCCCACCAATCCCTATGGGGTCCCCAAGCTGGAGCTGAGCTGCTGTCTCACCATCAGGGAGCATCCTGAGTATGGCCTGATGCTGCAGTTTTTATCTTACTTTATTTTGGGTGCCTTCTCAGAGAAAGTAAAAACTCAGGGGGCCCCCGTGTCCCTGACAGGCTCCCTGTCCTGCAGAGTTGAGCCGCCTTTCCTGGGTGCGTGGCACTCCTTAGCCCACCCGTGCTGTGCAGGTCTGGAGACTGAGGCCACAGGGTTCAGCCTTGTTCAAGGTCATGTGTGGGGCTGTAGTCCTGTCCTCTGGCCCCTGCCTAGACCGTGTTCCTTTTGCCAGTGAGAGGGTACAAGAGCATGTTACCAGCCAGGGGGACCTAGATCCATTCTTCTGGGCACCCCATGTGGTTGGGGAGTTGGGGGGGGGGGGCTTGTCCCTGGACCATGGACATTGTGGCTGGGTGGGATAAGTGCATGGTGGGCAGAAGATGGGGTATGCCTTGGGTGGAGTCCCAAGACTTGGCTAGTGGGGAAGGTGGGGCCTCCAAGGCCTGGGGGATGACACCTCTGACCATCCAGTAGAGCTGCAGCCTCGGGGCTGGGGGCCCTGGAATCCCCTGGTCTGGACCCCCCCCCCCCACCCCTGTGCTCACCAGTGCCTGGGTCTCTAGGTACTCACTGTGTATTGGGCTGCACTGGCCAGCCCCTGTCTCTTCCCCACACACACTCTTGCTCACCCCACACCTTGTAGGAGAAATGGGGTGCAGAGAGGAGGGGCCTTGAGGTGGTCTCAGGGCCAGTGCAAGGCTGGGCCCGAGCCACACCGCAGGTTGTCCAGCCCAGCCCCTGCTTCACCCTCACCTCTACTCCGCTGAGAGGTGAACTGGTGCTGTGGGCCCTTCCACTTAGCAGCATGTGGCCCTTGGGACCTGATTTATGGGATAGGAGATAAATACCTGATCCCTTCAAGGTACCCACCTCCCCTTTGTCTGTAACTGAATTTATGAGTCATGAATGTGCAGTAAAGCCTCCCCCAGTGCCTGCCCTCATGCCCCAGACACAGCAGCCACAAAGCTTGGCCTCACCAACTGAGGAGGGTGACTCTGCGTGGGTGGCCAGGACGATGAGGCCCCCCATGCCGTGTTTTTCTGTGAATGGTGCCTCTTCCTACTCCCCTGGGTGTGTGGATGGTGCAGCAAGGAAGAATGATAGGGGCCTAGTGCAGCCTGGGTGCCTGCCCTACAGGGACTCCCACCCACAGAATGAATGGTCAGAGGGCTTGGCAGGCAGGTCCCCACCCCTCCTGCATCTGAGTGCTTGGCAGTGGCCCTCAGTTCTGAAGCACAGAGCTCCTCCCCTCTCCTGTCCCAGGGCATATCAGCCTGAGGAGTGCTCCCTGGTAGCAGTGGGCAGGGCTGCTGGCCGTGCCATGGGGCCAGGTTTGCCAACCCAGGGTGTTCTTGGCCAGAGCATGTTCTGAGTGCTAGGTCCCTGGCAGGCAGCCTTACTGACTGTGACTTGTGGTCACATCCTGGAAACAGAGTCTCCAGCTGCAGTGTCTATAGGGCTGGCTGACCACTGGGCTGGCCCAGGCTTCCCCTGTGGGGTGGCTCTGCCCCTGGCAGGGCCCTGTGTTGGCTCCAGGCAGACAGGTCCCCCTACGCACCACCGCACTGCACCAACTAATGAGGGATGCCGCAGGCTGATAGCATCTCCTGTTGGGCAACAGCAGGGGCCTGCATACACAAGCAGCCACTAGGGAGGGACTCGCTCTGCAGCATTCCCAAGGCAGAGGGGTGGGCAGAGGCCGGTGGGAAATGCCACAGTGGGGCCCTGGCTCTCTGCCAGGCGGAGCCTGGGCCTGTTTGCTGACGTGGGCGGTGGCAGGGCCTGGGGGCTTATAGGCACACCACATCTGAGGGGGGAGACAGACCTCACCCTTGGGGGTTCCTGGTGTGCTGGGAGAGATCTTGCTGCTGCCTGGGGGCACTGGCCCAGACTAGAGAGGCCACCCACTGCCCCCCATCCTCTGCTTCCTTCCTCCTCCCCCAGGAAGGCTGAGCCCCGTTTCCTTCCTGCCTGCCTTTGCTGCCTGTGCCCCATCTCCTGGTTCTGAAGGCTTGGGGTGCAGAAAGAGCAGTGTCTGGTGTGCACATGTGTGTGTATGTGTGCATGTTTATATGTGTGTGTGTCTGTGCACTTGTGTGTGCATAATGTGCACAGACTCAGGTGACCCCACAAGTCTCTGCTAGGAGGAAAGAGCCTGCTGGATTCAAGTGTCAGCCCTGCTGTTTTCAGGCCTGTGACCCTGGGCATGGCACTCACTTGGCTTTCTGAGCCCTCAGGTCCCACCCCCACCCCCACTGCTGAAGGGCTTGGGCAAGACTCCTCATGGACTTGTTAGAGGAATGTAGCGGAGGATAGCGCTGTGTGTGTCTGCAGCAGGATGAAGAGTGGTGTCCACAGCATGTCTGTGTGTGCATGCCCGTGTGTGTATGTGCCCAAGTCTGTGTACCCGTGCATGCGTGCATGCGTGTGTGTGCCTGATTCCCATGTTCCAGCACCTTGTCCTAGCTTGAATCCCCTGAGGGAAGGAAGCTGCCGCCTCTGATTGGAGAGACTCGCTGGCTGTGTGGCTCCTTTGCCTGGGCTCCCTCACCCCCACCCCCACCCTTAGAAAGGAAGGGTTGGTTGGGCCAGAGCATTTTGTTGAAATTCAGTCCCATCTGTGTTAGGAGCCCGGGCCCAGGCTGCACCAGGAGACTCCCCTTCAGGCTGCGGGACTGCTGCGGCCTGAGTCCTGTGCCAGTGTATCCCCTGACATCTGGGCCTCGTTATGCTGGGGCAGGGGCCTGCACCCTCTTGCCTGTCACCTACCCTCCTGTGCGTTCTTCTGGGTACCCCCTCGGCCTCCGCCCTGCCTACCACACTGGGGGCTGGAGGATAATGAGGCCCTGTATTTACAGACGCCTCCTGCCCGAGGCTTCCCCGCGCCAGTGGAACGTAAGTCAAACATGACTCCGTCTGAGAGGTGATGGGGCTGCAGAACGTGCATCCCAGCTCCCTCCTCCCCTGCGCCAGGCATCTATAAATAAAACAATAATGTTTATAATGATGCTGCTCAGAGCTGCTGGGGCCCTTCACAGCTTCAAAGTGCTTCACAAAACATTCGCTAATTAATTCTTGGCGCCCTGGCGCAGGAGGCAGGTGTTAAGGAGCTCTCACCGCCCAGGTGCAGGCGCTCCAATAACTGGCAGGAGCCCTCCCTTGGGCCACTCTCGTCTGGGGCTCCCTGTGCCCTGGGACTGTTTCTGAGAGCAAGAAAATCCCTGGCACTAGGCCAGGGGATGAGCATCAGGGGAGTGTGGCCAGAGGCTCCTGTGACAGTCTGAGCCTCTCGCAGTTGCCCGTCTGCGAGTGTGTCCCTGTGTGTCTGTCCTGTAGACAGGTGCTGCCATTCTTGTTTGATGGATAAAGATGGGACACAGAGAAGTTAGGGGGCTTGCTTCCCCAGGGCCACATAGTGGGTAGGGATGGAGTAGGCTTTGGAACTGGGGCTGTGTGGCTACTGAGCCTGTAGCTTTAAACTGTTGGTCTGTCCTGAGAGCCCAGCCATGCCCCTTCAGCTCTCTGAGCCTCAGTTTCCCACCTGGAGAGATGAAGCAGTTGAGCTGGGTTATACCTTTCATCTGTGTCCCAGCATTGGGGCTATAGAATCTTGCCCAGAGATCCCTATCCCCAGGGCCAGCAGGGGATCTGGTCTTGTTCAGCCCAGGTGCTAGCTGAGGTCAATCCATGTAGATACCTCCTGTGTGATGGGGCTGCTTGGCATCAGGGAGTCAGCTGTCCTGGTCCATGACTGTGTACAGAGAGTGACCCTACCATAGACGAGCACTGCCCTGCTGAGGGGTTGTGGGTAACCAGTGGTGGGGCCCGGAGCCAGGACCCTTCTGCAGCCCTTGCTACCCTTCATAGTCTTCCCATCAACCCCTGGCTCCCTGCCCAGCCCCCCTGCTGTCCAGCTTTCCAGATGATCAGGCCTAAGGAAACACTAGAGGTTCCTGCTTGGCTCCTTGGCTCAGCAGGTGTATCTGAGAGGCTCGGATGGGGCTTTTGTCTCTGAGTCTCACTGTAGCCAGTGGCACCTGGCAGGATGCAGTTGGCCCAAGGTGGTTGAGGGGCACCTGTGCAGGGCCATGCAGACCTGTGGATGGTGTTGAGGAAACCAGGCAGGGCTGCAGACTCGAGGGCAGCAGGGTGGAGTGAGGGAAGGGGATGCTCCCCAGGAGCCTTGGCTTTAGGGGAGGTGGCTACTGACTTCATGGCAGGGCAGGGCAGGGCAGGGCAGAGCAGGGAGGGTACCAGAGGGGTGCCCCTTCCACCCCTGTCCTTCCTTGCATCTGCCATACCCATCTGGGAGCCAGAGGCCAAGAGGGAGGGCTTGGGAGGCAGCTCCAGCCCAGGCCTTGGAGCCAGGACCATGGAGGCATTGGTCTCTTGGTCATTGGCACCTGAGGAGCCCTGAGATTGCTGTGTCTCCTAGAGGGGCTGGGATGAGCGCCATGTGGGAAGCACCCTTGGGCCTCAGACCAGAACAAGGAGGAACATGGCCTGTGTTGGTGTCCCAGGGCTGATGAGCTGTAGTAGGGGTTTGTAAGGGGTGAGCAGAGAAGGGGGGGGGAGCATGGGAATTGCTGGAGGCCCCCAGCCTCATTACATTCCTGACTCTGCCATTTACTTGCTTGAACAAGTCACTTTGTCTGCCTGAGTCTCGGTTTCCTCATCTGTCAAGTTAGGGTCATGGAAGTGTTTACCTTATGGGGCAGGGGAAGGAGGGGGTGGGGTAGGGGCTGGAGCTCCAGTTCAGGGCTGTTGCTCAAGGGCAGGACTACCTGGAAAGGAGACATGTCTTGGGAACTGCCCATGAGCAAGTACAAGTAGCCACTTCTTGTTCAGGGACTGTCTAGATCTTGGCTTGCCCCCTGACCTTGACCTGTGGTGGGTGCCCAGATAGGTTGGGAGAGGGAATGGGCAGATGTGGAGGTGCCCAGAGTGGACGGTCAGGAAATAAATCCAAGTGGGCCAGGGTTGGGAGAGGGAGGCAGTGGTGCCTGGCTGGCCTGGAGGCTGCCTCTGGGGAGGGAGTGAGGCCTCCTGCTCAGGCCTTTTTGCTAAGCCACCATCTCCAGAGCTGGCCAGGGCCAGGCAGCTCTGGGGTCACCCAACTGGAGCCCCAGCCTGGGGAGCAAGTGTGGCCCAGGATGCAGGTCTCCATACTCCACCACAGTCCCCCCAGGGGTAGGCTGCATCCCAGGGCAGGTTGACAGGGCTCTCATGGTGCTGCTGCGTGGGGTGCCCCCAGTGGAGCAGGGTAGTCAGTACCCAGTCCTTGGGGCTCCAGGGAGTTGGGGAAGCAGTTCACACTTGATCCAAGCATGTCTAGGGTAGGGTTCTCATCCTCTCTGTTTGACGGAGCCCAGAATCACAGGGGATGTGGGGGCTTGGGGGTGCTTGACTTCAAGCTTGCCCAGGTGTGACTCTGAATCTCGAAAGACTGCTAAGTGTGCCTGGCACTGGCCCTTCATCAGCATGGTGCCCCTTGCTCCCCAGGAGCCTGCTCTGCTCTGGCGCTGGGCCTCCAGCGTGCTGCCCCTTCTGCCTGAACTTTTATTTTCTTACTACCGCCTCCTCTGGTCTTATCGCTGCTTCTTCCAGGATGCTTCCTGGCTCTTCCTGAGTTCCTAGCCCACTGAATCCTCCTCACTCCATGTCATGATCCCTGGTAACCATTGGTGCTGTGAGAGCTGGCCCTATCACCTTGGCGCCTTCTCAGAGCACATGGCGACAGAGAGGCCAGGTGTGGGGCAGAGGCGGGGTCCAGGGTCTGGCTGGGCGTCTCCTTCATGTAGCCCTGATGGGGACACAGGTGTGCTGGGTAGTGTCATGGGCTCCAGCCTTTCCCTGGGCCACTGGCCAGGCAGCAGGGGCTGACCGGGCCCCCGTGTGGCAGCCGTGCAGGAGGAGCGGCAGCGTGGCAAGGAGCGGAGTGAGAACGAGGTGGAGTCCACAAGCAGTGCCAGCGAGGACATGCCGGTGGAGAAGATCCTGGAGGCCGAGCTGGCCGTCGAGCCCAAGACCGGGGCCTGTGTGGAGGCAAGCACGGGGCTGCACCCCAGCTCGGTGAGTCGGCCCTGCCTTGTCCCCCACCCCCATTGAGCAGCCAGCAAGCCAGAGGCTCCCGGCTAGCCAGGCTCGTGCCTCTGGACCATGCGGTGTGGCCCTCCTCCACACAGCTCATATCCAGATCCTCAGCAGGGTCGGGGCCCTGCATGCCTTGGCCATCTCTGCTGGGGTCTTGGCCGCTGTGTGTGCTATGGTGTTCAGTCTCTCTGGGTGCAGTGGGTCCCTGCTCCAAGCTGGCCAATGGCCCTCTGGAGAAGGTGTGTGGAGGAGGCAGGCTCAAGCATGAGGCTCTGTGGACAGTTGTGTTCCCAGGCCGGCTGTGCTGCAGCCGTGTGTCCCTGGGCAGGGCTTTCCTTGAGCTGACCACCCCTGTCAGTTGGCATGAGGAGGCTCATGACCAGCGGCTGGCCTGGTTTCTGCTACAGCAGGAAGCAGCACTGTGCCCCCCGCCCAGGTGGTCACAGCACGCAGACTACCTGTTCCCTTCTGCCTCTGCAGCCTGGAGGTGAAGGTCAGATGGGCTGTAGTCCCCACCCAGAGCTGACCTCTTGGGCTGGCTCTGGCTGGCCTTGGAGGTCTTAATTCAGACTTCCTGGCCTCCACCCTCTCTCCTTGTGGACCCTCACCTGTAACCACTGTTACTCTGTAGCTCCTTTCTCTTTGTGGCTTTGCTGGGCAGGGCTGGGGGAGTGCTGGCTCAGCCCCCTTCCCATGTGCAGCCCAGGTGCCTGCCTTGCCTGGGGGCTGTGGGACCCGAGTGTTAGCAGGGAGGTGGGAGTGGGGGGCCATGTGGGCTCTCAGGGCAGGACTGGAGCTGGGCAATGAGGACTAGTCCTCAACCAGAGGGACATTCCTTGAAGGAGAGGTGACCCCATGTGCCCTAGCCTTACTAGGACAGTGGCTGCAGCTGTGCCCCTGGTTGGCAGGGGTTTCCGATCGAGTCAAAGCATAGGCTTGGCACTGACCCCAGTGCTGTGTGTCTCTCAGGGGTGCCACATCTGCCCCAGATTTGTGATCAGCGTGGTGTCTACACTGTATCTGTGTCTCCTGGGCTGCGACCCGTAAGATCTCATCCAGGCAGACCTGGAGGTCTCCCACCTCTGTCCCCTACTGGCCTAGGTACAGTGGGCTCACCCTGCTGACGACTGCCTCAGGCCCCTGTGGGTGTTTGTGCCCACCAAATTGCCTGGAGCGTGGTCCTTCAACCCCTCCTTAGGCTTTGGACTCAGCTGAGGCACCCCCTCCTGGGGGAAGGCCTTGCATCCTGAGTGCTCCCGGTGTCCCTGTCAGGGGCCGCCTTGATTTGGGTATAGAGCACCTGCTGTCCTCTCTGTGGCTGCTGGCTCACCATGGTTGCATGGTGAGGTATGTGGTAGATTCATTCCCACCCTTGAGCCTGGGTAGGGTCTGAGACTTCCCAACTTCAGCCATGTCCTCACAGCCCCCAAGCCTTAACCCATCTCTGCCCAATCTGAGAGCAGAGTCCCCTGCTGTCTACTCCTGAGGCCCCCCGGCCCCCCTGCTTCCTGCCCTCCCTGTGATAGGACACCTAGCGCCCCAGACCTTCCCTCTGCACAGTCCTCCTCTCTGACGGGGAGCTAGGCTGCCCAGCAGGACAAAAGACACTTGGACCCCAAAGGCAACGACTTATCAAGGGGAAAGCCCCTTGGGTCGTGGGATGGCCACACCCCATTAGCCACTGGGGCAGACCAGCCAGCTCTGAGCCATAACTATGGTGTGTGGTCTGTGCCTCACCCAACTCCCCTCATCAGTGCCAGTGGCGGGAGGGAGTCTGGCTGTGAGGTGTCGTGATTGAGCAGAAACTCCATGGCAAAGACTGGCAGGGCAGCAAAGCGTCGCCATGTTTTATTTGTGCAAATAAGGATGTTATTCTGGGGAAGAAACCTTGCCAAATGCTCTCTCCATTGCTGCATAAAAATTCAGGTGGTCAGAACCACAGAGAGAGTGGGGCTTATTTGGCATAAAAGGCCCTTCTTCCAGAGAAGGGCGTTTCCATCCCACCTGTCCTGGCCTCATGCTGGACACTTGTGGGCAGCCTGGGTTCTCCTCCTTGGATGGACAGCCTGAGTACCAGAGAGGGGCAGCTTGCCTGGCATTGAGTCTCCTGTATTGGGCAGGCCTCGGGCCTCTGCTTGGGCTGGTCCTGTGGATGCTGCTTCCCACGTGAGGTGGGAAATGTGTGTGCTGAAGAAGGTCCAGAAGGGAAGCCCTTGCCCAAGGCCACACAGCAGAGGTAGAGCTGGGCAGAGCTGGAACCCCACCCAGGAGGCCTCTCCAGGTCTACCCTTCTGGGGCAGGTGTCCCCCTAGTCCTGGCTGTCTGGCTCTCCATCCCGCATGCCTGTTCCTGGCCTGCTTGTGCCTACTCTAGGTGGATGGTACATGGTGACCTGTGTCCACTCTTGCAGGAACTCAGCCTACCCAGAGGGGCTTGAGGTCTCCATTCTACCATAGTCAAAGTGCATTGCTTAGGCTTGCTCTGGGATCTGGGCAGGGTTCCAAGGGTATGGCTGGCTAGTGGCCAGAGACACAGCATTTCCTTGGAGACTCATGAGGATGTGCCTATGTCCCCAGTGGGGATGGGTCTTGAGGCCAGTTTTCCCCATGGGCCTGTATCTCCTCCTGGATGGTGGCTCCAGGTCTTCTTTCCACTGGCCTGGCTTATCCCCTCTGGGAACTGCCCATCAGCCAGTGGACAGGTGAGGGGGGGTGGGCGCTTTCCAGCCTTTGCCTGACAGGAGGGGAGACTGAGGCTGAGCACAGAGTCTGGTGCCCGGTGAGAGCTGGGGCTCTGGCTCTGCTCTGGGAAGGTTTGCTGATGCGTGGGTGAGTGAAGGCCAGTGTAGATGGTGGGTTAACCCCTGGTGGCCGAGGGAGTCCTGCCCCTCTGAGCAGCTCTTCCAACTTGAGTACCTGGGGCTCCTTTGGCCTCTGTAGGTCCTGGCAGGCAGGTGCTGGATGGTCGTGGGCCTCCCCCCTGGACCCCTCATGGGCCCCAGCATGCAGGCCATGTTTGGACCCTGCGTTGCCCTGAGCAGGTGGCTCCTGTCAGTAGGAGCTGCCCGAAGGCAGGTCCCTCCTCCCCTGTGAATGCCCCGGTTGGTGCCTTCTGGAATGAGGGATTCCTGGGTCCCGCTGTCCCTTCCCCTCTGCCCAAGACTAAGTGATTCTAGCCCTGCTGGCTGTGAGCTAGGTGAGGAGTGCCTCCCTGCCCTGCCACTGAGGTCTACCTGGGTCTTTTGAGGGTGGCCGCCACTCCCTCATCTCTGTGCCTGCACTGGCATCTGGTCAAGCTGTGTTCCTTTCTGAGGGCCCATGTTTGCTAGAATGTGAGGGGCCAGCCCTGTCCTCAGAAGGGCCACCATGACCGTCATAGCTTCTCCCACCTTCCCATGTCATCTCCTGACTCCCACAGCCTGGGTGGGGCTCCAAGTCTGGCTGGCGGGTGGGTTTCCCACAGCTTTTGCAACAAGCTTCCACACACCTAGTAGCTTAAATCAACACAGATGTCATTATCTCATAGTTCTGGAGGTCGGAAACCCCAGCTCTAACCAGGGTGTCCCCAGGGCTGGGCTCCCTTTGGCGGTGCTGGGGGGAAGGCCTGTTGTCCCTGTCTCCTCAGTGCCTAGAGCATGTTCCCCGGTGCTTGGCCCCTTCCACATCCAAAGTGGCAGCATCTCTGTCCTCTCTGCTCTGCTTCGGTCACCTCTGTGGACTCTGACCCTCCTGCCTCCCTCTTAGAGGGCCCTTGTGATGACACCGGGCTGCCTGATGATGGACAGTGCTCTCTGCCCTCCAGGTCTATGCCTTAATCACATCTACGGAGTCCGTAATGCCATGCAGGGTCACATGTTCCTGAGTTTCAGGGATCAGGACGTGTTTGGCCCACTGCAAGGTGGGGCCGGTGTGGGGCTGTGCTCTCTGAGTGCCTTAGCACAGGAACTGAACGGGCTGCCCTCTCCCCCACCACAGCCCAACGACCCTGTCACCAACATTTGCCAGGCGGCCGACAAGCAGCTCTTCACCCTTGTTGAGTGGGCCAAGCGCATCCCGCACTTCTCTGAGCTGCCCTTGGACGACCAGGTCATCCTTCTGCGGGCAGGTGAGTGCGGGGCCAGCCGGGGCACATGGGGAGTGGCCCCTGGGCCTCAGCCTCCCTCCCTCCCTCGTGAGACGGGTGCAGGGCAGTGTCTCTGAGGTCCAGGGCCGTGAAGGGACCGGGGAGGGGTGCCACGCACCCTCTGCGGCCTTCTTCCCCCACAGTTCTAGACAGGGATCCAACACATGCTCTGGGATAGGACACCGGTGGCTGGACGGTAGACAGGAGTGTGGGCTTTGGGTTTGGAGCCAGGCCTGGATGAGCAGGCTGCCATGATCCTCTCCTCATCTATAAGGGGCGTCAGGGATGTGTGGACTAGAACGTGGCTGCTACTGAGTGACCAGCAGGTGGCTGTGAGCCCTGTATCCTTAGCGCAAGTCCTTGCCAGCAAGCTGGGGGACATGGACATGGGCAGGACAGAAGGTCCCGGATGCATGCAGGAGGACATGACACTGGCAGTGCAGTGGGGACATGGACAGGCAAAGGACCTGAGGCTGCTGCTCCTTGCCCCCCAGGGCCAGTCATCCTGACCATCTCAGCTTCCAGCTGCCATGGCCGCCTCCACCTCAGCTTGGCCTGAGAGCCTTGGCTGATATCAGGCAGACTCTGAGTAAAAAATGAGGAGCAGACAGCCAAAGCAGAGGCGGCTCCCTTTTTGAAACCTGGAATATTCTGGAGGTTGCTAGGGTCCAGGCTGTGTGGGGGCCCTGACTTTCCCACCTTCCTCTCAGAAGGACCCCTGTGATTATCTTGGGCCACCTGGATGGGCCAGAGCAGCCTTCCCTCTCAGAGTCCTTACGTGGATCGTGCCTGCCTTTGGGCAAGTTCTTGCCCCCATGGGCCTGGCACGTGGCCCTCTGCTCTTGTGGGAACAGGCTGCTTTCAGGATGTGGTGGCTGTTCCTCCCACCAAGGGACACGTCTGCCAACTCTGCCTTGGCCTTCGGAGTGCTCCCCATTGCTCCCTCAGTTCTGAATCCCTGACTTTATTGGCCTCAGAGCCCATCTGACTCCAGTGGGCAAGACCCAGAGAGAATGGTGGCCCTTCCCTCAACCGCACACAGCCCAGCTGGTCCCAGAGCCCTTTTCCTTTGGGGTTTTCAGGAAAATTGCCGGAAGGTGGTGCTCTGAGTTGCGTGGGTATTTGAGCCTCTGGCATTCGTTTCGTGGGTTCTTGCTTCTGTGGCCCTTCCTTCTGCAGAGTCCTTAGTCCCCAGATGCTCCCAGGCTCTGGAGTAATGGGGAGGCATTCCCACAGCGTCCCAGGGTGGGCATCCCTCCTGCAGAGTCCTTAGTCCCCAGATGCTCCCAGGCTCTGGAGTAATGGGGAGGTAGTCCCACAGCATCCCAGGGTGGGCATCTCTCCTGCAGAGCTTGGCTGCTTCTTGCCCCACTGACCTGCCCTTCTCTGCCTGCTGGAACTCAGATCTGGGGGGGTCCCTGCCCAGATGTGTCCCTGGCATTGGTGGGGTGGCTGGTCCTGGGCTCCGCAGTTGGACTTACTGAGTCTGAGTCCCAGCCTCACACCTGTGAGTGTCTGACCTTGGCTGAGTCACCCTGTGCCCTAGTTTCTTCCTGTGTCCTGCCCACATGGCCCAGCAACATTGTTTCCTGGGTGCGGTCTTAGGGTTCTAACCCACCACCAGGTGTTCTCTCCATGTCCCCAGAATGTGCTGCCTCAAGGTGGCTCAGCTGTGGAGGGCTGGCTTCTGAAGCCCTTACTAGGCCGGCAGCCGGAGCACACCTGGGGCAGCTGACGGCTGGGTCTGGCTGGTGGGTACGAGGTAGCAGGGCTCTGTGCCTTCCTCCAGGGGCCAGGGTCTCAGGGTTTGTGGTTGCAGCTTCCATAGGCTTCCATGCTGCATCGTGTGGCGGCAGTGAGGCAGGTGGGCTCAGACCCAGCCCTGGCGGGGGGCCAGAGGAGTTGTTGCTCCCCGCTGGCACCCTACATATAGGGCCCTCCTGCTGTGCCCCCCAGACCTGGGAGGGCCATTCCTACCATACAACACCAGGAATTATTGCCTAGACTAGGGGTTTCCCCTGTTGTGAGAGCTGTAGGTCAGCCCAGCCTCATGGCCCAGGGCCTCTGCCTCCCTGGTGTCCGCCTGTGGTTTTCTGTGTTGCTGAGTTGGGTGCTGCAGCCACACCCCTGCACAGCCTGAGAATGGGAGAGGGCTCTGGCCAGGCTGCAGCTGGTCTCGGACCTCACTGGCGTGCCTGCCGTGGCAGGAGTGGGTCCCTTCTTGTGACAGGCTTCCACCCCATCCAGGCAGCTTTCAGAAATAAACCATTAAAAATGAGTCGTTTTGGCTCATTGCAGGGAACACGGAGCCACAGCCTGGCCCCAGAGCTGTCTGGTGAGTTAGGCAGGCAGGGAGGGCTGCGTGGGGCTCTTTGGCGTCAATGGACCCCCTCCCAACCACCCGTCCACTTTTCCTAAACCACTAAATTCTGAAGTCTTGATGGTGGTTCTCATGGGGGCTTCTGAGAATCTGCGCTGTGCGGAAACTTCCTGGAGGTGGGAGCTGGTCGTGCTGGGCCCTAGGTGAGGTGGGGGCTTCCAGGAAGGCACATCTCTGGTCTCATGCGTCCCACCCTCACCCCAGGTTGGAGGGGGTGGGAAGCCAGGTCAGGCTAGGGCCACCGCTACCCTGGAATGGAGCCTCTGCCCCTCAGACAGCAGCAGCCATGACCCTGGGGCTCCGTTAACACTCCTGATGACCAGGAGCTAATGCTGTTGTGGTTGTCCTTGCCGAGGTGACGGCTGGTGTCCCAGACGTGGGACAGAGTCTGTGGGGCCAGGCCAGCCTGGACCCATGCCCAGCCTTGGCTTCTGATCCTTAGCTCTCTGCTATTTCTTGTAAAAGTGCTGCCTGGCCGGTGGGGGTCTGCCCAGCAGAGAGGATCCTGCCAGAGGCCCAGGGTGTCTGAGCTGGGTCCTGAAGGATATGCCGGCTGGGCCTCCCAGCCAGGGGATTGTGTATTCAAGGGGGCAGCCCAGGGCTGGCCCTTGTTTATCATGAGCTTGGAGCTTGCAGGGAGACCCTGAGTGCCCCACTTTGTCCCCAAGGTCCTTGTCCTCAGGATGACCCAGCCCGGGCCTTAAGGTCTTTTGGGACAGTGGAAGGAGAGGTGGCCACTCAGGGAACCCCCGAGGCCTGTTGGATGAGGGGGAGACTGCAGAGGGACTCCAGAGGCTGGGACAGGTGAGGGAGAGCAAGTGGGTTTGGGGTCCCTGGCAAAGCTCTCGTCCTCTGCCTCCTGGGCCCCTGCCCTTGGCCCCAGGATGTCGGTCCACACTGGGCTCCTCCCTGCTAAAGGGAGTATCTAGAGCCCGTCCTGAGAAGAGCTTTTGCTTTCCTTGTTGGGGTATAAAATCTAACATCCCACAGCCACTGGGACACTCCAGGCCATACCCTTCCCTCCCTGGGCCTCAGTTACCTAATGTCAGACTGAGGGCATCTCAGGGGTCAGGGTTCCCAGATGTGATGTTTACAGATGTTTCATGGACTCTCGGTTAGAGACAGTTGGGTGGAGCAAGGAGGATGCTCTTGTCACTCAGCCTGCTGAGATGGACTGTGGCTCGATGGCTGGGTGATGTGTGGCAGTCCCTAGGCTTACCCACCCATGGAACCCCACCTGCCTTATTTCCCTGCTAATACCTGCTGGGAATGGGGACATGTTGGGGATACATGGGTCCCCACAGATACTTGGGGAGGTACCAGTCCTGCAGGGTTTCTAGCCCTGCCAAGCACTCAGGGAGCATCGAAAATTATGGTTGTTATTGAGGATGATTGGATGTTTCTGATTTACAGGAGTCAATTAAAAAAAATCCGTGCATGTACACTTTTTTGTTTTGTTTTTCTTACCTTTTGATCCCTGCTCTAGTCTGTCTCCTCTCCACGCTTAAGTTAAGAGTATCAGGCCGGGCCGCGGCTCTGGCGTGCCCAGTTTCAGTTTATGCTTTACAATTTTGTGGCATTACACGGGCTCACACGGTCTCTGGGACTTTGCTCCTGGGACCAGACTGGCACAGTGGTTCTGTGGCCACTTCGGGAGAATCCTCAGCAGCTCTTCCACCTGCTCAGGGCACGAGTGTCCTGCTTGTCACACAGAGCTCAGGGAAATGTTTCGTGTAGGACTTCTCAGAGCCTTTACTGTGCCAGTGTGTGCTGAGAACGGAAGAGGCATGCGTTCCCGCACGCAGGCACTCACGGGCCTCTTCTCAGTGGAGCGCTTCCTGGGTCAAGGTTCCATGGAGCCCAAAGGGCTGGACCTGTGACTTGCTGCCTTTGAGGGTCGGACCAGGGATTGGGCGAAGGGCAGGGAGGGGCCTGGAGATGGTTGACTGACCTTGTGCCTCCTCCCCCAGGCTGGAATGAGCTGCTCATCGCCTCCTTCTCCCACCGGTCCATAGCCGTGAAGGATGGGATCCTGCTTGCCACCGGGCTGCACGTCCACCGGAACAGTGCCCACAGCGCGGGAGTGGGTGCCATCTTTGACAGGTGGGGGTGGGCCCTGGGAGGGCTCAGGCCACCGTAGCCCAGCTGCATGTCCTGCCGGAGCTCTTCAGGCCACGAGGGTTACAGATGTGGGAAAGATAGAGAAGGACAAGAGAGAAGATAAAAACACCTTTACTGAGTCCAGCCCCTGGGGATAATTCGTGACCACGTTTTGGCTCATTTCCTTTCTCTCCTTTCTCTTCATAATCCTGCGCGTTTAGCCGTGGGAAGGAGAGCTATGTTTTTTTGTTAAAAGTAGATTATGCTATGGGTGCAGTTTTCTGAAACATTGATTATCCAGCACATCACAGACTTCTGGGCGCTGGGACTGTGCCCTCACACGTGCCTGTCTGGCCTCCACTCTCACTCTTCCTGGCGGGGCCTTGGCTGCACCTTGGCCACTTCTCGGGGGACACACTTGCAGGGCCACAGCCCAGGGCAGGTGGGTCTGTTTCCATTTCAGAGGGTCCCCTGAAACAAGCCTGTTTGTGTCCACCAGGCGAGATGGACAGTAGCTGCTTCGTTTCTGGGAGGCTGGGGAGGGGCTGGGCAGGTTGAAGAGTATGGCGAGGAGTGAGGGAGGGGGAGGTGACAGGAGGGGCCTGGGTGAGCCCTAAGGGTGTGGGAGGCTGAGGCCACCCATCAGTGTCCCTGGGAAATAAATGTTTAAGGTGCATGGCTGATAGGACGGTCTGGATAGAGCAGATGAACAGGCCTCAAGGTCCTGAGGGTGGCCCTGAAACTTGAGTTCCCTGCCATGTACCTGGTATGAAAGGGTTTGTGGCATACCACAGGGCAGATGGAGTGTGTGAGGGCCTTTGCTGCAGGACTTCTCAGGGCCTTCAACAAACTACTGTCCAGGAGAGCCCTTTGGGGGCTGCAGGGTACAGTGTTATTGCCCACAGAAGCTTCTCCAGAAGGGACGTGGCTTTGGGAAACAGCTCCAGCCATGTCCCCAGCTGACAGTTCTCCATCCAGCAGGCAGAGAGGTGATGGTGGTGGACATACACTCTATGGGGTCCCTGAGCTCTTGGCCCCTCCTTACTAGTCTCTCCTCAGGAGTGATCATGGCCCTCCCCAGGCCGCAGATCTCAGGGACTCCCCTTGGTCCACAAGGCCCAGCCCCACCTGGGCCACTCCCTTTCCTCTTCTCAGGTCCCAGCCTTACCAACCACTTCTACTCCTAGGGAGGACAGTGGGGTCTGGGGGGCTGAGGGGCAGGGCAGGAATCCTATCTAGGTCAGGAGCTGCACTCCCCTGCTGCAGATAGACCAGTGCTATTCAGAATTCAGCTGCTGGGAACATCAAGTTTGGACTTGAGAATGTCCCAAGGGGCACCATTCAGGGGTCCCACCTCCTATGAGGCTGTGAAGGTTGTTCCCCACTAATGCCTGGTAACAGCAGCTCCTGCCTAGGGGAGGCTGTGTCCTGGTGTGAATAACAGTGTCCCAGAGCAGCAAGAGAATGCTGCGAGGTTGGGCTTGGTGTCTGCTCCTCCGCTGGGCACAGGAGATGGCGGTCCCACTGGGCACGCCAAGGCGTTGGATCCCGGCCCCAGCTTACCTTGGCTGGCTGTCATGATCCCTCCTTGGTGTCTTAGGTTTCCAGAATAAAATCTCACAGGTGGACCCTTGAGGGAGAGGAGCTGGACAGGCCTGGCATGGGGGCTTAGTCTTGCCCATCTGCTGTCCTCCGGGCCCCCGAGCTTCCCAGAGTCCTTTGGGTATTCCTGGAGTGGGGCCTGGTTGGAGTATGGTGTGATGTGGGCCTTGGTGTCTGCCCTCTTCCTGCACAGGGTGCTGACGGAGCTCGTGTCCAAGATGCGGGACATGCAGATGGACAAGACGGAGCTGGGCTGCCTGCGTGCCATCGTCCTCTTCAACCCCGGTACGGCCTGGCCTAACTGCATCATGCACCCAGACCAGACTTCTGGTGGGGCTCCGGGCTCCCTGGCTGCTGTGCGAGGCTAACTCCCACCATTCACAAGCCTTGGTGTCTTTCTCCTGTAGTGGGAGCATGGCCATGTGCCTTCTCCTAACTGCGAGGGCCACTGGGGTGGCACAGCCTGGATACAGTGGGGCCTCATTTGCCATGAGGGCCTCCGGGGCAGAGGCTCTGGGCTCTGCTGTTTCAGGCCCCACTGCCACACACCAGTATCTTTGTTCTAGAGGGGCTGCTGTGTCCTGAGTTTGGGTGCTGCAGCTTTGCAGCCCAGGCAGAACTCTAGGCCAGTGCTGGTGATGGCCAGCCTTGTCCTCTGAACCTCAGGTTCAAGACCCCCATTGGTGGGGATTAAGTGGGCTCCTGGCCTCTGATGAGGCACTTCTGTGGCCTCTGGTTTCTCTATTTCAGAAGCCCCTGGGGTGTTAGTTCATCTCCCAAGTAAGTGTTGACACAGTGTCCAGTGTGTGAGGCCTCTGGGAGCAGCTGGGGTGTGGGGCTGTTCTCATGCAGCTTGGAGTTTAGGGGGAAATGCTCACTAGCAGTCATGGCTGTGTGATCCAGGGACACCGTGTGGTTCAGGGCGTACAGGATGCTTCCTCCAGGAGGCAAAATCTCGAGAGTGGCCAAGGGGGCAGGAGTGGGCTGGCAGGGGTGTGGCGACCCCGAGGGTGCGAGGGTGCCTTGGGCAGGGCTGTGAAAACCTTTCTGTGTCTGGGCTGTTTCTTGGGGCTGTGGGAGCCCACCCCTGAGGGGTCCTGGTGGCGTAGGAACTGGTGGAAATGCTCCCAGTATGTGCCAGGGTGGGGCTGCTGTAGGGGCTCATCTGGGCGGAGGCAAGGAGCAGGGAGCCCCTGTCATAGCTCCCAGGCCTGCCCTTGCCCTGTGCTGGCCCCTGCTCTGAGGACCCGGGCTCGGGTGGACATGAACATCACCTTGTGGGGTGAGCCTGTTTCCAGGGACATTTTCTCACCCAGGTTTGTGCCTCCAGGCCATATTCCTGCCAAGTAGGGAGGCTGAGTCATGCCATATTCCTGCCAACTCAGGAGGCTGAGTCAGGCCTCAGCCTAGCCGGTGGATTCTCCATTCAGGTCCCATGTGACCTGACTGCTATGACAGGCTAGTGGGGAAGGGGAAGCCTGGCATGTTTCCAGGAGCTGGGACCTCAGGCCACTGCTCATGCCCACTGCACCACAGGTACCTGGTGGTTTTGGTGGCTGCAGTCCCAAGCATCTCCGTCTGGACTGGCCACTACCCCAGACTCCTGGGGCCTGAAATGAGCAGTTGATGAGTTCTGGGCTTTGGGGCGTGGCCCTCTGGAGTGTGGGGTGGGTGTTTTGGGAAGAAGATTGGTTGCTTCTGTGATTAAGGGCAGTAGAAGCATCAACTGTCTCATTCAGTTAGTGTGTTGGGTTATGGGTGAGCAGATTCCTAATACTCCACTGATGGGGAGATTGAGTCTGTAGAGGTTAAGTGACTGGTCCAAGATCATATACCTGGCAAGTGGCAGAGCACATGCCACCTGCTTTGTTAGGGTAGGGTGGGGGGGGAGACCACGCTGATGAGACTCCTGGCTTGGACGGCTAGTGTAAGGGTCTGACCTGCGGCCTCCTCTCCTGGCAGACTCCAAGGGGCTCTCAAACCCGGCTGAGGTGGAGGCGCTGAGGGAGAAGGTGTATGCATCCCTGGAGGCCTACTGCAAACACAAGTACCCTGAGCAGCCAGGCAGGTGAGTGCCCCGCCTTCTGCCCTAGGATAGACCTAGGAGTTCTTGTCATAAGAGCCCCCAACCCTCTTGAGGCCCTTTGTGTGCATGAGAAGGGGACACTGTACTCAGGTGGGCCCTGAGCAGGTAGTGGGGGAGCCCACCAAGCCCATGGATGATGGGACACATACCCTACGTTCTTAGTCCCATTGCGAAGACTGCCTGGCCCCAGGCACATGGCGGGGCTTTTGTTTGTCCAGTCCAGAGGTGAAGGCTATACTTCAGCCCCTGCTGCCCGTAGACGAGCGTAGAGAATAGATGGCTGGCCACTTGCACATAGTAGGTCCCTTATAAGTGTGTGTCGGCTAGATTGCCAGATGTTTGCACTTAATAGGTACTTCACAAATGTGTGGAAAAGAAATGACTATGGACTGAGGGCTGAGATGGTTTGTCATTTCAAGCCCATGGTGCTGGACACATAGTAGGTATCCAAGAGGAGAAACATTTCTGGATGCCGAGATTCCAAGTCAGCTTTCCAGATCCTGCCCCTTTCCTTAAGGGGCCATTCCTTGGCTTCCTGATTTGAAGACCATGTTTAGGGGGGTGGGGGCTGAGCAGATAGGGACACTTAGCCTCCCGCTTCTGGGCGTACACATGGTTAACTGTGTCCACACTGCCTGCTCTGCTCTCATCTGGTTTGGTTTAAAGTGAAACTTCCCGGAGGACAGGACGGTGGGGTGGCAGGCCGCTTGTTTTTCCTGGCTTCCCGCCCTGGCCTGTCTCGCCAGCTCAGCAAAAAACAGCTCGTTCCCTGGCCCAGCTCCAGCCTCTGGGCTGCGTTTTTGCCTTTAGAAGGAGGACTGTGAGGCCTCCAACCACAGGCTTCCCCCTGAAATAAAAGACTGCATTAATAATTAACAGGGTCCTGCAGCCCCTGGAGGGTCCACCGTGGAGAGATCGGGAAGTACCCAGGGGGAAGTCTGGGGCATATGTGGACACCCCAGAGGGGACACCTGGCCCTGTCCCCACACTACACTGTCTGTAGTAGCAGCTGCTGCTGTGGACCCTGGTGTGGCTAATCTTGGCACATCCCCGCCAGCCTCCAGACTTCTTTCCTTTCCCTCCCCATCAGTTACCACCCAGGAGATTCCCTGGGAGTAGGCAGGGCCCTGAGAAGCTCCCTTCCTCCCACCTATGCCTCTGGCCCCAGCTCCAGCAGAGCTGTTTCTCTGGGACGAGTGGCCCTCGTCTGGGGTACACAGCCTTCTCAGGGTGCTGTGGGGGAGGGCTTGCTCTTACATTTAAATCCCCAGCCCAGGACTAGCTGAATGGCCACCCCCCGCCCCTCAATACTCTTCTCACCTGACCCAGACCCCACCTGGCCCAACTCTCAACTGGCCCAGCATCCACCTGGACCAACCCTTACCTGGCCCAGCCCCAATCTGGCCCCACCCTCACCTGGTTCTTTCTTCCACACCTCCGGCAGGTTTGCCAAGCTCCTGCTCCGTCTGCCTGCTCTGCGCTCCATTGGGCTCAAGTGCCTGGAACATCTCTTCTTCTTCAAGCTCATCGGGGACACACCCATTGACACCTTCCTTATGGAGATGCTGGAAGCCCCACACCAAATGACTTAGGCCCCTTGGCCCCTCCTCCCACCCACGTGGTCTGGCCACCCTGCCTGGACACCAGCTGCTCTTCTCAGCCTGAGCCCTGTCCCCAACCTTCTCTGCCTGGCCTGCGTGGACCTGTGGGTGCAGCCTGTCACTGCTCTGCCTGAGATATGCTGTCACCCTCCTCATTCTTATTACAACTTGTCTTTGGCCCAGTGCAGTGGCCTTCCTAGGGCACAGGCAAGAGTGTCAAGAACTGGTGTGAGGCTCTCTGGATGCCTGCCACCCCTCTGGGGCCCCTCAGGCCTGGCCTGGGAATGTGGGTGCTGGGCAGGGAGGCTTGGCTTCGGTCGCTCTTATCATTGCTGGTCTTCAAACTCCCTGTGCAGCCCTTCTGTTGGGAGTGACCTATCTCTGTTCACTCTGATAATAGTGTCTGCCAGCCCAGGACAGCTCCTAGGGTCAGGAGGTGGGGACAGGTGGGGGCAGGCTACTGTTTCATTGCAGAAGCACCTTCCACCCTGGGAAGATGAGAGGGGACTCTTGGGGCCATCAGGCCTCCCTTTGCTTAGAGTGAAGGGGAGGAGCCTCTTTTTCCAAAGATGACTCTCGATTTCGCCCTCGAGCCAATGAGAACATGATCTGACCTCTGTGCTGGGCTTTGGGCCCACCTGACAGCTACAGCAACTGGATCACCCACGTGCCCACCTTGGTCTTCTCTGCCTTGTTCTGGTTTCAGATTTCCCTTCCATGTTCAACCTGGGGCAGTCAGAGTTGGGTGCCCGGTGTCTCTCCTGCCCCCAATCTTCTCTCTTGGTCTGTGAGGTGGGCCAAGCCCAGTCCTTGGTTCCTGGAGGGCTAGCCCTATCTTGGGCAGGGTCAGGTGTGATGGCCTCAGTGGCCTTGTTGGAAGCATGTGGGCTCCTTGATGTGCCACCTGGAAGACCTGCAGCGGTGGGAGGGTGGAGGCTGTGGGTTGGCTTCCCTCCAAGGAGGCAGCAGGAATGGACTAGTGGATGTTTGAGCCATGTAGGTGGGGATCCCTGCTCAGGCCCCCTCTCCAGCTGGCTGGTTATGTCTAGAAGACTCTTGGAATTTGAGAACCACTGGGTCCTGTGTCCTCGGGCCTGGAGCTCCAGGCCCTCTTGGGCCCCCCAGCCCAGTGTTCTCTGTGGACAGTGTCGTTCACCCAGAGCCTTATTTGGGAAGCTCATCTCACACCTGCTCTGGTTGAGGGTGGCGGGCTGGGGCCTGCTGGCTGAGCTCCTCCCAGCCCAGCACCCGCCCTGCACACTGCGTGGGGCTCTCATGGTGCAGGGCGCTCTCACCGGCCCAGCACCCGCCCTGCACACTGTGCGTGGGGCTCTCATGGTGCAGGGGCGCTCTCAGGTTGAACTCACCTCTTTGCACTGGAAGCCTCCCTTTGGCTGGAGCACTTCTCATGCTCACGTCTTAGGCCCATGGACCCAGCTTTTGCCGGTAGCAGGTGCCTGAACGAGGGAGGGGCGGTGGGCTGGAGGGGCTTTGAGAGGAGGTCTTGTCTCTCCAGCAGCAGTCCTGGGGCAGAGGGAGTGGGCTGTCTTTTTCCAAACTCTTCTTTCCTCATCTGGAGCAGAGAGGTGGGAGGCAGAGAGGTGGGAGTGCCCTTGGGAGGGGCTTGCTCAATGGGGAGATGGCAGGTGAGAGGGGCCGGTTCCCAGGGGGGAAACTCGAGGTGGAGGTGGGGGAAGGAAGTGTCCATTCTTTGCTTCCTGGAGTACCCAGCCAGAGCCAAGCTGAGGCACCTGGGCAGAGGCTGTCAGAGATTATAGAAACATCTTCCCTCCACCCTTGCCTTTCAACGTGGTGGCTCTCAGGAACTGTCCTCTGTCTCATCTGCCTGAGGCGGAGGTGGTGCCCAGGTGAGCCTCATACCTGTGCCAGGGCTCTGGCCGGCTGGCCCTCTCCCCACAATCTACCAGAAAGTCTCAGCAGCCTTGGTGGTGTGATGGTGACAGGACACAGGCACCCTGGAGTCCTCTGTGGGAACACCAGAGACGGTCCACACTCAACACCTGATGCCTTCTGCAGCCAACGCACCTTCATTCACGCCAGGACCCTGCCAGGGGTGGTGCCCCACAATCCATGGGGCCCTTCGGGGAATGTGGGTGGCTCCAGAGGAGAAAGTCCAGGAGAGACAGAGCCCCCTGTTGCAAGGTTGGATTCTTTTGTGGAACTTTGCCATTTCCAGCCCTGGCCGGCTGTCTGTAAAGCACTGAGGCCCCCAGGCCACCACCCCTGAACCAGAGCCCTGGCCTCTCTGGCGCATGCAGCCTTACCCACCACCCCACAGTGTGGTCAGCTGTCCGTGGGCTTTCTGCCTGCTTGTGGGTCTGGTCATTGTTACAGCACGTACAGTGCTGTCTGCAGAGGTGACACATGGGGAAATGGCACATTACCAGTAGAGAGGTAGAGTTTTTATTTAACCAGACCTTTAATAGTATTACCAATCTGGTTCAATTAAGGTGATTTTTTTGTAATTATTATTATTTTGGTGGGACAATCTTTAATTTTCTAAAGATAGCACTAACATCAGCTTGTTAGCCACCGTGCCTGTCCCCACATCAGCCTGACTGGATAACCTGGCTGCCTCTTCCTGGGCCCCTGGGGCACATTCTCTGGCTGGTCACCTCCCTTCTTTGAGGTCCAGGTGGGGCTCCTATGGCCAAGGAGTGAAGAAACTGCAAAGCCAGGCTCCTGGTCCACCCAGTCCGGCATCTCCAGGAAGCTGGCCTGCCAGGGATGTTCCACCTGCAGAGGGCTTGTGTCAGCTACCACCCTCATCTCCCTGGAAGTGCGCAGTCTCCTGGGCAAGATGGCCCCACAGCCCTGGTTTTCCAAGTCACAGCATTCCCCAAGGATTCCAGGCTGGTGGCCTGGTGGCAAAGTGGTGGAGATGACCTCCGGGCCCCCTCCTTGCAGGGCGCCCTGTGGGGTCCTGCCAGAATGCACAGCCAGTGGGTAATCAGCTGATGTCCCCATTACGAAATTGGGGCACGTGTGACCTAGTCCCCGTCCACGCAGGTGTGTCGTGTAAACATGTATGTGCTGTACAGAGCCGCGTGTGGAGAGAGCCGCACACTCGCACTCGGGAGGTGCGAAGCGGTTACCAATGTTTTGTGTTTATTTTTAATCAAGACTTTTCCCTTGTTTTCCTATAAATTTGCTTCATGTAAGCAAGTGCATAAGGACCCCTCCTTTGGTGAAATCGGGTTCAGATGAATATCTCAAGGCAAGGAGGTGCATCTATTTTAAGATGCTTTGGAGCAGACAGCTCCCACCGCTCCCACCTAGCAAGGCCTTAGCGGGGATGCATAGCTAATACTTCAGAGAGGACGACAGATCCACAAAGAATAAAGATAAGAGAAAATGTCTAAAGCATCGGGAAAGGTTAAAAAAAATCTATTTTTGTACAAATGTAATTTTATCCCTCATGTATACTTGGGATGGTGGGGGGAGGGCTGGGCGTGTTTGTTTCTGCTTCTAGAGATTGAGGTGAAGCTTCCTCAGCGAGACGTGGGGACGTGGGACTGTAAGGAGAGGTTCTCATGGGGAGTCGAGGCTTTGTGTGAAATCGCTGCCCCCGCGGGTAGTTCTTCCTTCGGGGCAGGACGGTGGGCCTGAGGCTATCGAGGGTTTCCTTCCCCTTTCGAGTAATGTTCAAACCTCGCTCTGTTCCGTCCCCGTTACGGCCGGCCTTCCTGCGACTGTTTGACTGTGAAATTACTTCCCTGCATAATTGTTCTCTGCAACATCACGGCACAGATGCCAGGGTTTGGCGAACAATGGTGTTGGAATTGTGGAAAAGAAACAAAGTGAGAAAAACGTGAGAGGAGAAACAAAATATGAGCGTTTAAAAATACATCGCCATTTAGTTCTCGTTTGTTCTGTGTGGGGGTTTTCCTGTTTGGAGAGGGAGGGCCTGTGGTCACTCTACACCCACAGCCCTCTGGCTGGCCCCAGTGCAGGGAGACCTCAGACATGGGGCTCCTGTGCCCATCTTGGGCCACCCTCACAAGTTCCATGTCTGTCCTGAAGCTCCCCCAGGTGGCCTTGGGGGCTGGAGTTCACCCTGAGGCCTCTGGAGAGGGCCTCCCTCAGCATTCCTGGGTGCTTGCAAAGTTCGTGTGTTGCTGCCTGCCCTGCCCCCCACCCAGGCCCGGGCTAGTCCTGTCCACACTGGCCTGAGTGGGCAGTAAGTGCACACAGAGGGTCAGAGAGTAACGATGCCGCCTGACTGACTGATTAATAGGTTGCTGGCACCATCTCTACCATTTCCTGTGGTCACACTATCTGTCTACATGCTGTCTGGAGGTGGGTTGCCCCTGGTCTCTGCTTGGAGGTGCTGCCCCAAACCCTTTTATGCTCCTCCATCCAGCCAGGCACCTTCCTGGGGAGGCACTATATGCTTTGAAGATGGGCTCAGGGCCTGCCCGTGGTGTGGAACAGAGGGCAATGTGGCCAGGGCCCAGTGCAAGGGCAGCTCCTGGGATGAAACTTAGGTCAGCAGCCTGAACGGCAGGACCTCCTTGTGTCATCCCTGGGAGCACACACACATTTGCACAAATGTGTTCACATGTGCCCTAACACAGTAACACTTGCACACAGGTGCAAATGCTCTTACACATATGCACACGTGTTTGCAGCCAGGACCCTACATTTACATCCTCCTACTTGCTAGTGTGTGTTGCAGGGCGGCTGCACTATGAAGGTTTGGGCTACTCCCTGGGCCCACATCTGTGGCTAAAGAGAGTTCCTGTGGGACTCTAGAAAGACGGATGCAATTTGTCATCTGCTTAGGTGACACTGCCAGCCCTGGGCCATGTGCCCCTGCAGCTTCACACACAGGGCATGGGTGCAATGGTAGCCTCAGGAAAGCGGTGCCCACCTGCCCTCTTCATTCCCACCTGGCCGTGTTGGGCCCTGCCCACTGGTGTCCTCTAATACAATCTCGCATCTATGAGCCTTGTGGGTCCCTTCCTTAGTCTGCAGGGGGTCAGCCTCAGGGGCTGCCTCCCTGCAAGGGGCCCCAAGTCCTGAGAGCACATCCTTGCATCCCTGGACACTGCTGTGTGAGAAAGCAGTGGTGGACATAGGTCTTGTCCCTAGTTGTCTTTTGCCCCATATGCTGGGCACAGCCTCCCTTG